CCACTGAGCCACTTTTCCAGCCCCAATAAATATATCTTAAAAAAAAAACAAACAAACAAACAACAAAAGCCCTGGGTATAGTGACTTGTACTTGTAATCTCAGTATTGGAGAGAAAGACAGGCAGATTTCTGGGGCATGCTGGGGAACCAGCCTAGTTTGTTCAGCAAGGTCCAGGTCAATGAGACCCTGTCTCAGAAAGTGAAGGTGGAAGTCTGAAGATCAATACCTGAGCTACACACGAGAGCACCCGCATGCGTGCATAACAAATCAAGCCTTAAAGTCTTGCTCATATTCCAAGCAACCAGGTATCTTCCAAAGAACACCAGATGTACCGTGTGCACACCACAGTGAGTCAGTGTCTGAGAACCATGATGAACAAGCTTGCACTGCACACTTCAGAGATCCAGAAAGAAGCCCGGGGATACAGGTTACTGGGGGAGCATTTGTCTAGCAAGCATGTGACCTGGGTTCAACCTCATCTCCCTCACCAAAAAGTACCTTTCCTCTACCCACTTCCATCGCAAACATCAGAGTTTTTGCCATAAATGCTGAGTTTAGTGTGGCGTCTATGTATTTCTTAACCTCTTGGCATGTGTGACTATATGATACAATGTCTATCAGGTTTCTATCTTTCCATTCCTTTATGCTCCTGACGATGCTTTTGAGTGTTTTGTCCCTAGCCCTCTTCCCCAACCACACAAAGTCCTCTAATTTTGGTTGCACAGCTCTGCGTGTCAGAGATTTTTAGGAGCATGCATATTGCATCGCCCCTAACTAATAATAATAAACACAACTGCAATAGCTTGCTTCACTCAAATCATCAGCACCAGGCTGACCCAGGTTATAAAATAACCACATGAAGAGACAACTATCCTCCTGTGTTACTAGTCCCCAGGGGGCGCTCTGCCATCAGTCAGCCACTGAGCCTGGACACGCTCACTCCCCTTGCTGAGCTAACAGCACTGAAAGTGGGAGAGCAGTTCCCACTAAGAACATAACTGTGCTGATCACAAACTAGCACTGTGCCAGAAGTGCACAGCCTTCAAATGAGGTGCAGGCACAGCGCTGCTGAGAGCACCAGCTGCGATACAGCAGTCTGGAGGAGGCGGGACCCATGCCCCTTAGCCCGAAAGCCTCAGCACTCACTTCATGGTAAGTGTCCTCCAGCTCTCCATCGTATATCCACCGGTAGAGGAAGCTCAGGATGGGGTGGGACACTAAGCTCAAAATGTGCTGCACCAGGGACTTCATGTAGGGGTCTCCTGTCTTCGTGTAGGCATGGACAGCAGAGGCCAGCTCACCCCCTTTCCGCCCTAGGGGAAACGAGGAAAAAGCACACAGAAATGGAGAAATTTGAATTCATGGCACAAAAAATTACTAAGAAAGACAGCCAAGTGACAGATACCAGGCCTCTGCTTCTCCAGTCAGTAAGGAGCTCTTGTACTTAGCAGCAGCATGCTGTGCAGCAAGGCCCGGGCATTAAGATTCAGTCCCTGGCTGTACACACACTCAAGCAGGGTCAGCCAACCTGTTCTTCAGACTTCCAAGCTGTTCTGGAGACTTTAGACTCACACCTAAGTGTCCATGAAAAGCAAAGGGTCCAGAACAACCGTGACAAGACCTGGGGTGTGGCACACAAGGCAAGGGCAGTGCAGTAGTGCAGTGTGGCACTACTCAGCAGCCAGGGACCAGTAGGACCCTAAGGAAGGCACAGGAGTGTCACAAGTGGGCTCTAGCAATGCCAGCACAGGAGCCGTCAGTGTGTCAGAATCTAAGGGTCCTCCGTGGCCTCTCGTTTTACACAGACTTCACTGATGTGCAAGCAGTGGGGATGGTGGGACACCTAGGAATCCAGAAACAGGTCTTACAGCAAGACCTGCCACAGACCACATAGTGCAGACATGACTGCTGCAAGACAGCCGCAGGACTTCACTGGCCGACTACCTACTGAAAGGTGCAGGACCCAGAGCGGTGACAGAGCTGGCAGGGACCAAGGTGGGGGAGGTTTGGTATCAGAAGAAATGGGGAGTTGTCTATTCGGTTCATTCTGTTTCACAGAACTGCAGGAAGTGAGGGAGGCTAGCCCTGGAGAGTATGTGGTGAACTTGGCCACCCAGAGCATGAGAAGGCGAGGAAAGCTTCGAGGGCAGCCCGCGTGCAGGTAGGCACACGTAGGGCTCTGGCATGCAGCCCATAGAGCAGCGTCCATCCCAGCTTCACCTCGTGGCGCCTGAGTCTCGGGCTATGCAGGCTGCACTAGCCCCAAGTCACTATCCTGTGGGCCTATTTTCTATGCTTACTGATTTTGCCCTCAAGCAGAGTGGAATCACAGACCCTACCTAAAAACAAGTTTTGCACTCAAGTATATCTAGAACCACAAAAGAGGAACTCAGAAGACCTTGGCAGTGATCTACCAGCGCAGCAAGGGTCTTTAATCTTATTTTGGGGTCATATGTCCAAACCAGGAGGCGCCGCAGTGTGAGGCTACTCTCTAGTCCCAAATTCACACCCTGATCATCTTCTAGCTGGAGCTAAAAAACAACAGGGAAAGGTTAAGTAGAAATGAGTGAGCACAAGCCATCACCCCTTAACCCACACAAAGTGAAAACAAGGCCACAGCTATGCTAACAATAAGGTCAAAGGTCATTTTTTTTAAAACTACAGCGCTTTTAGGCTATGTACACGTAGTCTTCATATGGTAGACAGGACCCTGAAATGAGGAATTACTTGGCTCTAGGATGCAATGAGCAAACCTTGTACTACGGAAGTGATTATTGCTGTATATGTATGAAGTAACAGAAGCCACCCTACAGTTTTCTAACTCTTGAGGATGTGAAGGAATTACAGGGGAAGGTCTTACCTGGGAGTGCAGAACAGAGAGGAGCCTGTAGTATTCTTTGAGCTCTTGGTGCAAGGCGGCACAAAAACTCTGTGTGGGAAAGGTAAGCAGGGTTGAAGCATAACCATGCACTCACAATGGCTCCCTCTGAGAGAGAAGACAGCACCTTCCCATGGAGCTCAGTGCAACTGAGATCCTGCATCTGTAGCATCTATGTTAGTGACAAGAAGCTTGGACCGTGTAGAAGAGAAGTGGAGAAGTGGCAGGTTTTCACGGAGGTGCAAGTGCGGTCACTTCGGAGGATGACCCTTTGCCATGGTGGCCATTCTAAGTTTGCAGGCACAGTAACTCCCCTGGATGTTCTTCCAGCAGCCCCAGCTGACACGGATTACTGACCACTCGGTGCACTGAACATGCTCCCTGCATCTCCACGGCCAGAGGCAGCAAGGAAGGGCCCCACTGGCCCGCAGTCCAATGCTAAGACCCTTTTGGCATGAACCCAAGGCTATAAAGAGGGCATGCAGCCCAAAGTCTATTTGCAAGACAGGCTACCATAAACAGACCAGCCAAGGCTAACCTCTTTAAAAGAATATGCAAGCTCCGCGGCTCTCCACACAGCTTGATTGAATGCACAACTTCATAAAACATGGGCCTGTTTTACCACACACAAGAATGAAATGTGCTTTTAGCTAAAAAATTGTAAAATACAAAAAACCCTTCTGGTTATAAAAATTAACATAAAATGAACATTTTAATCTCCTATAGCTGTAAAAATGAGCACAAAACACACCAACTTTGTACACACATGGCAACACTTCAAAGGCAGACTTGCAAGATGAACTGCCCCAACCTAGGGAACCAAAAAGGCCTTTGAGTGAAATCCTGGGCTCCCAATGAAGGCTGACACCTCCAAACTCCCACCACCACCGCCGCACACACATACTTTGCCAGATTTTACATATGAACAAAATTAGCACAGGGGCATAGGAGTCCTTACTAAACTACTAGTTTCCCTGATGTTCACAGAGGCAGCATGTGTTTAGGCACATCGTCATGTTCTACAAAACGGCCACCCCAGTCTCCAAGAGGGCAGAACCGCAAACATATACAAGATTAAAAAGTAAAATATAAACCAGTTTATCAAATGGTCAAGAGCTCAAGGTGCAGCCTGCCACGGAGAACGCACACCTGCAGACGACACAGCCGAGACTACAGGCGGCCTCCCGGCCAAATGCCCTACAGCAGCACCCCA